CCAACAGAAACCAAAGGATTCTTATCCCTTTCCCTTAATTATTCGATCATGCCATGCATGTTGCCTGTTGTCTGTTGCCTGCTGATTACTATCCATAATGTGACCCGAGAGCAACTTGATTTGATGTCATTGAGTGCTCTAGATTTTAATTCCATTGTATTATTAGTCTAAATATTTCTATTATATCACAATAATTAAGCTTACTATTTCTTTCTGCCCAACTTTATTCCTGATTTATCACTATAACTGGTTTCTAATTCAGATAATGACTGGTTCATATTTGGACACAGAGATGCTGAATAAGACTTTGGAGATTATAGACATATATTATAATTTAATTTTAGTCTTTTGTAAATGTACTTTCTCTAATTGTTTCTCTGATCCTACTATAGCACATGTGATTTTGTTTCTTTTTCAAACGAGTGGTCCCTAAGTTCTTCGTTTTGGTGTCTCAATCCAACTTCTCTTTGCTTTATTACAAAATTAATTAAACTAAATAAACCCGGCATTCATGGTTTACTGTATCAAATCAGTGGATGAAATTGCATAGAATCGAGACCCGGATGCGAAACTTCTCACAAGTTGTTTTGAGTTTTCACTTGTCTGCATGGTATCACGTGATTGGACTTTGACATCTCAATTGCATGTAAAATCTTCTCATCTGAAAATCGCATCAAAAACTTCATATGTGCGTCTTTCTGCTTCATCCTTTGGTAGAAAAATAATACAAAAAAGTAGGGAGTTGATACATGAACACACAGAGAATCACAGATCCACCAATGCTCTTATGTCGAGACGGAATCGATGAAATCCAATTTAAGCTTTTCAAGTGAGCGGTAACTTCTAAACTAATATATAATTACTCAGTGTGTAATTTAATTGGATACCGGAGAAAACTTTGTTAGCATGATTCAGTGAATAAAGGTAAATTTCTTATATTATATTGTTAATTTCATAATTTTTCCAAACAAACGGTCCGCTTCTCAAAAGACTCAACAACGACTAGCCCAACTGGCCACGTTCGCTTCTCTGACCTTCATACTGTTTATATATATATATATATATATGTAGGGTTGCGAGAGAAATTTTTTTTACTCACATTTTGACATTTATTCTGTAATTTTTTTTTTTTAAGAATTCGAACGGTCTATATTTCAATTCATTATTCATAAATTATCTTAGTAAAAACAAGACAAATTTGAAACTATTAAGATATTTATTCTTATGAAAAAAATAGACTAATACGATTTTGCTATTATTTAATCCAACAATTATAGTTTCAGATTTGGATTATTTTTTGTCGACATGATCTTTGCGAGAAGACCTAATAATAAACAGTTCAGATTGTTAAAAAAAACATTACAAAATGAGCACTACAAAAATAGGTGTAGAAAAATGTGTCCCCTATCCTAACACACACATATATTTTGGGATGTGATATCTACACATTCTTTTTTACTTCTCACCCACCTTTCTAATTTTCTGCTGTCGAATTTGATGAATTGAATAAGATCAAATGACAGAAATTAGTAATGGATGTGTGAGAAATTAAAAAAAATATATGTTAATAGCACACCCTTATATTTATTTACTTCAAACTTCTGCTAGTAAAACCGTAGATTCATTAGCTCCAAAGTCAAAGATTTAAGCAGATCTTCGGGGCTGCCTTATGGTTTCTATATCAACATAAATTATATTAATCAAATAATTAAAATCTTTACGTGCCTTTTTGGGGGTTGGTTTGTTGCACTTTTGATAACTGAAAGACCCATGAAGTGTGGTCCGACCCAAACCAAATAAATAAAAAACATGTTCTTTTGGCCAAAAATAAATTGTGTTTGTTGTTGTTTTGACATTTATTTTGTAAGATTTATTCTGTAATTTTTTTTTTTTTAAGAATTCGGACAATCTATATTTCAATTTATTATTCATAAATTATCCTAGTACAGACAAGACAAATTCGAAATTATTAAGATATTTATTCTTGTGAAAAAAATAGACGAATACGGTTTTGCAAAAAAAATACTAAAATTACTATTATTTAATCCAACAATTATAGTTTCAGATTTGGGTTATTTTTTGTCGACATGATCTTTGCGAGAAGACCTAATAATAGACAGTTCGGATTGTTAAAAAAAAAAAAACATCACAAAATGAGCACTACAAAAAGAGGTGTAAAAAAATGTGTCCCCTATCCTAGTCCCCTATCCTAACACACACATATATATTTTGGGGTGTGATATCCACACACCCCTTTTTACTTCTCACTCACCCTTCTAATTTTCAGGCGTCGAATTAAATGAATTGAATAAGATCAAATAATATAAATTAACAAGGGGTGTGTGAGAAGTAAAAAAAGGTGTGAATATTTATTTACTTCAAACTTCTGCTAGTAAAACTGTAGATTCATTAGCACCAAAGTGTAAGATTTAAGCAGATCTTCGGGGCAACATAAATTATATTAATCAAATAATTAAAATCTTTACGTGCCATTTTGGGGGTTGGTTTGTTGCACTTTTGATAATTGAAAGACCCATGAAGTGTGGTCCGACCCAAACCAAATGAATAAAAAACATGTTCTTTTCTTTTAGCCAAAAAGAAATTTTGTTTGTTGTTGTTTTAAGAAAGAAGAAGAAAAGGATGGAATCTTTTTGAAGGAATGGGCATTTATCGTTATATATATTATGGATTGCGCTGTACAATTTTGTCCTTGTATTTCATCGTCTTTCCTTGGAGAAACAAGCTTATGTAGAAAAAAATCTCATATGTTTGAGTATATTTGGCTCTCTATATAGTATTTTTAATATACGAAATCCCACTTTTTGTGAAAGTCATAAGAACCTTAACCAGCCACATCGTCGTCAGATTGCTTTAATGAAAATTTCCCTCATTCCTTAGTCGCACAAATGTTTTTTTCCTATAATTTCCATGCGTAGATGGGATCTCATCTTCTTTTTTTTTCTTTTTCTTTTTTTTCATTTTTCAATAGCATTTCCCATATTTTCTTTGGTCTCTTAACAACATAAGAAATTAAGCGTATCCTTGTAAGAACTAATGTTATCGTTAGTATTAAAAAACTTTCAAGGCATTTTAAAGATGAAAGCAAAAAATTTTAGGTTTCAATTTTCAACGACTAGAAAAAGTGAGTTTGTATCAAAAGGCACAAAGCTCAGACACCGACGACTGGGTGTGTGCCGATGCTCTCTCGCATGTACGGTACCATTTGAGTACACTGCAATATCCAATGTGTTGAAATTACCATTCTAGACTAAAGAAGTCCACAATAAAATTGCTCTCTTGCATGTACGAGAGAGCAACTGTCAAGGCACGAGCATATTGTCATGAAAGTGTTTTGTATTATGTAAGTTATTTTCTTAAAATCAGTGACGAATTCAGAATTTGAACATTAGAGAATTTATGTTAAGTTTTTTAACAAAAAAAGATCGCGAAATATGAAATTTTTTTTTTCCAATTTATTCACCATGCATTTCATCGAACACTTGTGAGCTTGTTGTCGTTAGCTGAACCATATTATGCACTTGTTAACACATATCAACGTATGCTGAAACAATCTAATGAGTGTTATCTAGAGACATTGTCGAGTACTCTCGATGAAACCTGACGAGCTCTGTTCGAAGTATGTTTAGCATTACGTTAAATACTAAGTAGATCCATACTAAACATTCAAAGGATCATCGAAAGAACTTCTCATATGTATTTAACAAATGTTGAGTGTCCTAATGTACATCCGCTACCGCTTACAACAAATGGAATGGAAAGAAGCAGCTCATCTAAAGACGATGATAGTGATGGTAATAATAATGATGAAAAATATCATATCTTCTTTAAGTTTCCTGGTCCAAGATCTAACAGTTGCTATGAAATCATTGTTTGAGAATGCCAAATGAGTCTGAAATCTGAACCATCAAATTGGTGGGTCTGCAATTTATAGGGTTCATCATTACTACTTTTGAACCGAACTCATCAAAATATTCCAAGTTAATTTAACCCCAACTCCGCAGCAAAGAATTTCACCTAAATGAAAAAGTTTATGAATATCTAGCAGTTGTGATTAGTTTGTAAGAAGAAACAATCTTGACATTCGATGAGTCAAGTAGTTGAGCGATATGCACAAACTACTTATTACAAAGCATGCGTAAGAAGTTTACGCATAATTGAAGAAGAGAAATTTTTTATTATGACGAGAATATGGATGGTACATTACGTGTTTTTATAAAAATGGTGGTAAATTTTTTTTTTTTTAAATTATTATCTTTTTAACATACATATCTCATTATTTGTATAATGACACGTGATGTACTATTCCGTGAGTCAATTATACTGAAAAATCACTCGCTTATAAGAAGAAATGTGTTCTTACGCTCGAGGAGCCAAGTATTTTTATTGAAAAAAAATGAGCAGTAACGTTAAGATTTGTATTCAGATGACTGAAAAATTGCTTGCAAAATATTTGTAAACAGAGCATCCCATGAAGCTGCGGGCTGTCCGTTAAAAATCTGTGCTGGTATTAACAGTTTTAACGGATAAAACTGTTTAAGTTAACCAGAGTCAGACAGAGCTGGACAAGATACGAAAAATATAGCACGCGCAGCAGACAAAATTCTAGAAACCAAGAGCAGCTGAAACAAGAAAAAAGGTGATGGAAGGTTTTTCAATGTGATCGGTACACGAAGTGGTATATTAGAAGAAAAATTCTCTTCCCTTCTAATCATTCTTCCATTTCTTTCTTTTTTATTTGAACGGTTACGGTTTAATCATGTCAACATCTTATATTAATTTTTTTATAAAAACAATAAGACAAAAAATAATATGTGAAATGAGGAGAGGAAAATGGATGAGACTAAGAAGGAAGAGAATTCTTCGATATACCACGTATCACTGTATAAATTGTAGAATATATGTTAAAAAATTAATAACTTAAAAAAAAATAATTTCCACCATTCCTATAAATTCTCATTACAATTAAAAATTTCTAAAGGTGACAAACTCAAATTTAATATTAATATTAATATTAATTACTTCTCATCTTCTCCCACAGGGTACATTTTGGTGGACGACAACCACCGCACCGCCGCCGTGAGTAAAGCCTCACACTATATCAGATTTACAATTTCAAACCCAGATAATATTATCTCCATGGGTTCAATTTCTAGGGTTTAATCTTGGGTCAGAGTCAAATTTGTAAGACAACAACCCCAAAAAATAAAGGAGAAAACTTGAAAAAACAGAGAAGCAGGTCAGCAGCTTCGTCTTGCTTGTATTTTCAGCCATTTACTCCCAAAATCCAGACTTCAAAAGCGCTTTTCTTCACCGGAGCATGGAGGTTAATGTCTGAAAAGCGACTTCTTCGCAAGGAATCGTGAGACCCATGTCGTGATCGAAGCCGAACTCTTCCTCTGCTTGGTGAAGCAGGCTCTGGAACTCGGGCCGGGTGAGGAAGGAGATCGGTACGATGTATCTGCTTCGGTTTTCTCCGACATAGACGACGAAATGACCTTTTGGGACATCGAGAGGGAGGCCCTGTTCGTCGTAGTGCTGCTGCTTTTTTCCCAAGCTGGAGCACCTCTTGAGAATCTGCTTCAGGACTGCCGTTTGCGGAAGCCGGTTTGATTTTCTGATGGCCATTTTGGAGTTGATCGCTGTGTGTTTGATGAAACGCCTCAGAGTCAGAGGGGAGATTGGGTTTGTTGGGGAGTTTAGAGCCAAAGGGGAGGAGGGTAAAGGAATTGTGTGAAAGGGACGAAGGGAAGTGCAGGAGTATTTATGGTGAGAAACTGAGAGTTTAGGGGGTAGAGAGAAACAGAGTCATGTGGGGTTGTAGGGACAAAAGAGGGGGGAGAGAGAGAGAGAGAGAGAGAGAGAGAGGGTTCCTTTTGGGGGCCCGTGGTGAGCTCAAAGGACATGGAGGGAGGGGAGCCAACCCCACTGGGTTTACATACCATTGTTGCCCTCCAAAGGACAACTTGGTCCCTCTCTCCCACGAGAAATTTTTCAGGATACCGGGTGCCCAACTTGACCTGGAGTACCAAGCCAATTACAGGTAGATACGTGTCCTGCTTTCTTTTTCAATTAAAACAGTTTCTGTGGGAGGCAGATTATCTGCCTTTTTGTTTTGGATGTCTTTTCCATCTCTTCTTATTTATGCGGTTACGGTTAAGTTACGTTAATATTTTATATTTTTATTATTTTTTATCTTATTATTTATGTAAAAAAAATTAATATAAAATATTAACGTAGTTTAACCGTGATCGCACAAAATAAGAAAAATAAAAGGAAATGAGAATGACATCAAAGAGGAGGGCAGACAAGCGGCCTCCATTTCTGTGACTTCCAAATCGCTGGGTTCGATAACTGAGAAGATAATTCCCTTTAGCTTTTTGCTCGAATTTTTTAATTTTTTTTTTAGCTGGGTTTTTCACAATTTCAAACATTCATGAATTTATGCGTAGTATGATTGTTTTGGGCTTTAAGAGGAATACATGGCCGCAGATTGCAGTGACTTTTTACGAAAATGTAATTTTTTTTCCTTTAATTTCTCAACTGATTGGTGTCTCCATAAAACGGCAGTGGAAGGCCATCGGAGAAAGGACGAAACCGAGGACGGACGGGTATTCATCGTCAGCGGCAGTTTGACAGAGTTTCTCTGATTCAGATCCCGGAGCCGCCGATCGGATTGTCGCGTTCGCGTCTAGGGTGTCCAGTGACGCAGCTGAAGAGGAAGAAGCCGGCGAGGCTTTATATTCCAATGATGTCGTCGGGATTTGGGGTGGGTCCGACGATGCCATCGATGGTGGAAAGGAAAGAGGTGGTGAATGCTTAACGTTTGACTGAGGTTTTCTTGGTTTTGGATTACACGTTCATATCTATTTAAAGAAAAAAATGTTAAAAGTCAATGTGTCCATCTCTTATTGCTTGGGTACACCAGCTCTCAATCTTATGTGGAGTTCCCGGCTCCTTGAAAAATTCCTCCTCTCTCACGGAGTAGAATTCTCTTATCTTCAAATCCCTCTTTCCATCCAATTCTTTTTTGTTTGAACGGTTATGATTACATCACGTCAATGTCTGGTATTGATTTCTTTATAAGAGAGAAAAAAGAAGACAGTAAGAGAGGAAAGGAATGGAGGGAAAGTAATTTAGAGGGAAAAGAATCCATAATCCCTCTCACTTAATTGCAATAGAACATATGTGGCATATTTCTAAATATTTATCAATAATGTTATTATACAAGTGGAAAGACACTTAGAAAAAAAAAAATAAATAAATAAAACTTCCCCCCATTTAACAATTACATATGGTGTACCGTCCCATGTTTTGGTGATATTAAAAAATCTCTTCATATTATTAATGCATTTTTTACAATATTGACGCAAAATTTATCTCTGTTGGTGTACATTTACTTTGAGAAACATCCCACCAAGTTTCTACTGCTCATTTGTACTTATTTTTACTTTCTAGTGGTACTTGATTCAAATTTTGCCCATGCAAACTTAGTCCAGATATAAATCAGATGTAACAAATTATTAATATGTTATTAATAATGTGTTGATGTCACTGTCACTTACAAAATGTATCAACTTGTTATTGATGATTTTTAATAATATCCATACAAATTTTGTCTACATTGGTGTACATTCACTTTGAGAAACATCCCACCAATTTCCTAGTGCTCATTTCTTCTGTACTTATTTATTTATTTATTTGTGGTGTTTGATTCAAATTTTGGGTTTGAGATTTACTTAGGATCTTTGTGTTTGAATTCTTTGAACTAAGAGATCCATACCATTCAATTTCAATATTGCGGCCCTTATTAATCCATTACATTAACTCACTTCACAAACATTCAAAAAAATTGAACTGCACGGATTTGTTTTTCTGTTTCTTGAACAGTCCGAATCTTTCAGTCTGTGTGTTCTGGACACAAGATCCAGAGCGAATCTCATTTGAAGATTGTGTACCAAGGATAAAGGGAAAATAGTGAAATTTCCTGGAAATTAATATTGACCGTAATATGTGAGGCAATGACCAGTGTACATTGCTATCATCAGCGTAGGCTAGCTCTAGGGCTAAAGCTACTAACAACTTTATTTTTATTTTTTTGCAATTTTCATGGTCTCTGTTTTCAATCAACCCTACTCTGCTTGGACCGCTGTTTATTTCAAGTTTCAATTAGGGTTCAGAGTTTTCTTTGTCTCCTCTTTTAGGGTTGTCTGACACATTCTTCGATTTCATTGTTTCAGCTTTTGCAATCTCAATCCCTCCCCCGACTCTCCCCCAATTGACTAATCACTTTCCCCTTCCACATTGCTCTCTCACTTTTTCAATTGTTAGTCAAAGAGAAACTTGCTTACATTCGCAACAGCACTGTTCTGGTACTTCAACTCAATAAAGTATTATTGCACGAGAAAAATTAAAACATGTGACAACTTATGTAAGACAATTAGTAAGCAAATTTATAAAACGACTCAACAAGCCAGTGTAAAATTAAGATGTATCAACTTTGAGAAATATGTCCTCCATAGGAACATTATATGATCTCCAATTATGAACTTTATTCCACCCTAAAAAAAACTTTAAGTACTTTTTGGCTCGAGTGCCGGAAGATTTGACTGCATGATTTCAAGAATTTCTCATAGTTTGGGGATTTTTCAGAGTTTTATTTCTAATTTTATTTTCCTTTTGGAGGTTTGGAAGTATTTAAACCTTCTTATTCATATTATCAAATAAACTTTGAGATTCTCCCTCTAGGGTTTATGGTTGAAAATCCGTACTATCATGTTGTTTCTGCCATTAACCATGTTTGATTGAGTTGGGATACAGTCAAAGTCAACTGTCTTGCTTAAGTAGTTAAAGATATATCAATTAACTTACTAGTCATAAGGACCTCGACATAGTTTGATTGCAGTTAGCCAGTTACCGTCGTAAAAGGACGACTCAGCCCACGAACAATTCTTCGAGTCAATTGCTTCAGTGAATATACTAGGGTTTTTATGTAACGTGTGTGTGTGTATAATTATTTACCATGGAATCATTCACATTGATGTTTATATCTCAGCATCTGCATGTATGCATGTACTGAAGCTACGTACGACGCAGTTGTTGCCGGAAGCTGTGGGGTACGTGTAGGGCTGGGTCATCTTAAATGCTTGCTGGGTTTATCATTTTTCATGTTTTCATTCTATATATAAAATCATTGGCAGATGAGGTTGCTGATTTTTTTTTTCACATGCACATCGATCCACGTTTGCTTGCAGCATTTTAAACCGCTAATGAGGCCCCCAGACCCTCTCCCCCCCCCCCCCACCGGGCCACCCACCGTGCACCCGTGACCATGAATCATTCCTGCCGGGATACGTACAAGAAAATAAACTTGGACCTTGGACGTATTCTTGTTGCTTTGGTGTTTTCGTTTCATGTAAAGTTTTGTCAGAAAATCATAATCGACTGTTGAAAACCTAATAACCAAACAATAAATCTTCTTTTTTCCATTAGGCAACAAAGAAAGTAGCCAAAGTTCATGGAACATGATAGATTTGAGCGTAGCCAAGTTGGTTAGAATAATACGCTTTCCCATAATTTAAGAAGAAAAAAAAAATCATGGAAAGGGCCTGCATGTTCAGTGAAAGTGAGACTTGCTTAATAAACTAATACATATACATACATACATACATATATATATATATATAGCACTTGTTTATTGTTGATGTTTCTAGTTAATCTAACAGAATTAAATGGCTATAAACGAAAGAAGATGGCTTTGTCATTAAGATCTCCTAACTCATCGATCTATCTATTCCTATATTAATTCATATTTAGCTTTACAAATAACAACGGATAGAGAGGAAAATGGCCTGTCTCGTGGTCTGCTAGTACGTACCACCAGCAGTACATATATACAAGTTTTTTCTTAGTAAAGGATCCTGTTATACTGTAGCAAAAGGCGTCGAGAGATCTTCATAGGAACCCTGCATTTACGGTGTAAGATTTTTGTAACATGAAGCAAAACTGGGAGGATGGTGAAATGTATACATGCATGCATGGTTCATGCGATGGTTCTATACCTAAGAAACTGGTCATATGTACGTATGGCCGAGATACCAATAGGAGCAGTGTCATAATCCGATCATAAATTCAAAATTCAGTGAAAAATGGTACCACCGCTCGATTGCTGCTCATATATTGCTACCTTTGCTAGCCTGGCTGTATTAAATAATTGCATGAATTAACCCAATGATGTGGATTCAATCGGGGGGCCATTGTCCCTTCCCCGTGCACGTTCTGAGGTGTAGAAGAAGGCTGTGCTTCTCAACGATAACATTGCCCATTTAAATGCTCTTATACGGCATTTGTCCGGCAATGTGTTCCCCGTTGTACCATCATCAGTACTAGAAAGCCAGACAATTAATTAGGTGGCCATTGTACTTGGTGTGTAAGGCTTCAAGTCCTTGACCTTCTGTTTAGATTGAAAGTTTGAAACTTAGGAAGGACTACAACTAGTGAGTTAACTCGATCGAAGACTTGACAGCTTGATTGGATTTGCAGCCATTCATTGCAAAACCGCGTTCATATAGGGTTTTCCAGTATGGACTGGAGCATAGTATGCATCGGGATCCTTAGTCGTTGGATCATTAGCCATTGAGTTATTGGCTGCATATTCAGCCTCTTGATCATCTAGCTCATGCTATGGGCCAGTTCATTCTAGAATTTTCGGTTCATATAATTTCCGTACGACTCACGAGTAAAGGGTCCATTTTTATCGAAAGGTGTTATACAAATGACGAGATACGGACATCTTCACTCAAGTTTCTCCTCCATCTCCATGACGTGTTCGGGGGCATCCCTATCCGGCCGTTCATTCACCTTGTCCATGCTTTGTGTAGGTTCATATAATATCCATCATGACTCAACGAATAAATCTTCAATAAGGTTTCCCGACTACGTACTCTCACACCGGGTCAAATCAACGCGGTGCAATGGGACTAAAATGCAAGGGGTCCAATGCATTTAAAGGGGTGTAATATAAATGATGTGAACATAGCATTTTCCACACAAGTTTTTCTCCTCCAGCACATGGTGCAACAAACCCTATTTTCCAAAACTGTGTAAACGTGAGAAACTCGGTTGCATGACAACGCATATTAAAGGAGGGAAGCTAAGCTGGTATGGACTTGAAGGCTTTAAATGCAGACTTTTTGACCGGGGCCATAGGGTTTTGCAATCTTGAAAATAAGCTACCCCTTTGCAGTTTGCATGTTCTGGGGTTTAGATTGGTTTGGTAAATGGTGGATAAAAGCAGAGAAAATAAGGATATGGACCCCGTGCTTTGTCACCAAAGGCAGTCACTGACTCAAACTGTATGTACTAGTGCAAGTCCTCTTCTTTTGTGATGTAGCTAAGCTTGGGTGGAAAGTAGAACCAGAAAATGACCCAACTAGCACATGCATTTGCTCCCAAAGAGATAAAAGCACAACGCAACAAGCACTTGAAAATGTAGCCCCAAACATAACCCTAACACTTAAAACATGAAAAATTGCCAAATATGCAAAGAACTTATACCTTTATGATCACCCCCGCGCTAGTCTTTTAGGTATTGGTTATCTAATAGAGGTTTGCTAATTGGGGATCATTGTTAAGTATCCAAATTAGATGGGTATCAAAAATACTCATTGAGTACTCAACTCCTCCACTTGAACTGGTGGTTTCTTCAATTTAAAGGTCATTTTTCGGAAGGACTTGACCAAAATGATTGACGGTGGATAATCTTAAGGACCACTTCTATTGATTTTAAATCTCAAGAATCAAAGTGGGGAATTATAACAATCTCAGTGACCATTTTAATTAAAAAGCTTATATTGTGTTTTATTTTATCAAGTTTATAATGTGAGATTCTTACATTCTTCAATAGTCCCTGCATAGAATAGCCACCTAATGGGTTTCAGGTGTGGTCGGGTACGTATCGATCATTGTTGATCAAGTTCATTCAAAGCTTCATCTATGAGATTGAAAATCAATAGAAATGGTCCCTGAGATTGTCCATCATCCATTATTTTGGTCCTTCTGTTAAAAACTCCATTAAGTGTCCCGGAGCTCTTGGCCGGAAGTTTGGGCAATTTTCAAAGTTTCGTAACCCAATTGTTTCTTAACCAAATTCGACCCATAATTTATCAAAATGAAGATAGGAAAGTGTAGAACAAGATTATACCTATTTGGAAGCCCAATGGTTGTCGGAGATGGCCGAAAAATAGCCTAAAAGGTGACTGATCCGAGGGAAAACTAGAAAACTCACGAGAAACTGGGTAAACTTTAAATGTTCATAACTTCTTCAATACTTAACGAAATCGAGTGATTCAGAAAGGAAAATCATACTTCTCAATGAGACAA